TGCTTCTCCGGAAACAGAGCTGCGAAACCAGCCCAGCTGTGGCTGGAGAGACTCCATTTCCCTGAAGCCCGGAGTTGGGAGGCATGGACGCTGCCCAGGGACAGCGGTGTGTGACGACCCTGGGTGGGGAGGGGGAGTCCCGGTGAGAGCTCAGCTGGCTTCACGGGCCTAGCGCCCTCCTGCAACAGGGGTAAGGTGCTGGGGTGTGACTTGGATCCGGGCCAAGGCAGGTCCCGCGCCCACCGGGGGCCAGGCCCCTGCCAGCACTGCTCTCCGCAGGCTTGGCTTCTTGCTGGTTTTCACAAAACACGGACTGGTCCTCTCGTGGCCCCGTGGAGGCTCGGGAGCCATCAGGCAAGGACAGAGCAAGGCCGCTGGGGCTACGGGGAAATCCAGACCCCTCCCCAGAGATGAGACCAGGTAAGGCGGCAGGAGCTGTCTCCTGGGGCCGGGGGTGATGGCTGTGGGGGTGGAACGCAGGAAGGGGCCAGGTCTGGGGACAGGACAGAAGCCCCCTCACCCCTGAGCTCCACTTGGGACCCTCAAAACCAAGCCTAGGGAATGCGAGGTCAAGGCTACTACCTGCGGACAGACTCCAGACACCTGGGCTGCCATGGGGCCCCCGGCTCTGTGCACAGCTGGGGGGCTCCTGAGAAGAGGAAGGGCTGGGCCCAAGGTGGGCAGGATCTGTGTCCCCTGCTCAGACCGAGCCCCTGAGGTGGGCTGCCTCTGCCTCCAGGCTGGAGCGGCCCCAGGGCACCTCACCCGCTCTGTCATTGCATAGGCAATGCAGCCTGGGCGCTCACAGAGGGACAAGGTGGCCCTGAGCTCGGCGGGGAGCACTGTGGGCCCTGAGCCCCACCGGGGGGCTGCCTCGGCCTCCATGTTCTCGGGGCTATGTCAGCATGCACCTGTCCCGGGCACCCTTCCCGGAACCCTCCCTCCTGCCCCTGCTCTGGGCACCAGGCAGGCGGGGGGCCTGGGCTGGGCACCGGGCAGGCGGAAGCCCTGGGCTGGGCACCGGGCAGGCGGGGGGCCTGGGCCCCCGTGCTGACCCTGATCTCATCAGCCTGGTGGTTTGGGCGGGTCTTGCTACCCCCAGCGCTCCGCTCTGGAACCTCAGTCAGGAGTGTGTTTTTCTCTAGGACCAGGTGTGCAGGCTTCATAACGGTAACACAGGCATTGTATGTTTATTCCTTGCTGTAAAGAAGAACCTGGGTGTGACACTCTAGTGCATTTTATGACCCGTGAGGAAGCCACCACTACAGAGGGCACCCGTGTTGATTGTGGACGCAGCAAACACCTCCTCCAGGCCTTGCCCCCCTCGGTCACCCTGTCCATGCGGACAGGAATCCCTACTTTATGTCACCAACACCCTCCGTCATCAGGCACAGCTGACATTTTAAATCTGGTCAAAGGAATCTCTCCCCGCAACCAGGCACAGCACCCACCTCCATCTTCCCCTCCCAGGTCCTATCTCTGGAGGACACCCCTCCCCACCTCCTCTTCCCGCCCCCCAACTCCAGTCATCTCCTCTCCTCTCCCTTCCCTCCCCCTTCCCCTCACCCACCTTCCCCTCCCCTCCCCTCTGTCCCCTCCACACACACCCTGCTTTTCTATCTACACTCACTCTTTTGATGCCCCAGCTCCCCAGCTGGAGGGCTGCCCCCTCTTTACCAGCCCAGCAAAGGCAGGCCCTGCCCTGTCTGCCCCGTGCACCCACCTGCCCACCTGACATCTCCACAGGGCAGCCGATGGTCAAAGGCAACGGGGGGGGGGGGGGGGCGTTGAGCTCCTACGTCCCAGCCCCTCTCTCAGCCTCCCCTCCTTCCCCCTGTCCATCGGCTGACCTGTCACCTTCACCTCTGAGCCCACCTCGCTCCCCACTACCTTCCCCGGAGCCCAGCTGGTCTCCCCGTCTTCCATCCAACCCCCACCCGTCCTGGGGGGCTGAAGGACGAGGCTGCTGGACCGCCTCTGTCCGGACCCCCCAGGGCCCTCTCACCCTCGCTGAGCCCGATGCCCGCCTCGGCCACGTGTCTGCCTGTCCTGGTCCCCCTCGGACACACCTGCAGCCGCACAGAACGGGACCCCCACTGCAGGTGCCAGAACCCCCCACCTCAGCCACTCGAGTTGCCCTTTTCTTCCTTAACCCCGTGGCTCTGTTCGCAGGAATGTGCTCGCCCGTTTCTGCCAGGCCGCAGGACAGGCAGGTGTCCCCCGGGCCCGGCCCCTCGGGCATGCTGCGCCCTCTGTTCCATGGGCCTGGACGCTGGAGCAGCTCTGACCCCACACATTTGCCACGTTGCTCCCCGGACCACAGCGCGGTGGCTCGGCCTGGGGCCACGTGGGTCAGACAACTCGCAGACACGTGCTGGGCAGTGCGCCTCACCTCCGTTCCTTCATGGGGCCCTGTTGTGTGCCCCACGTGTCCCCCTCTGGAACGGTCATTCATGGCGCGGCTCCGGGAAAGGCCCAGAGGTGTCCAGAGGCTTCTGTCCACTCCATCGCAGGCGGGCACGCCATCTGCAGCTTCCCATCCACAGGCTGTGTCACTGTGTCACTGGGCGGAGGCGTGCCCGGTCCAGCACAGGGACCGGCTCACTGCCTGCACAGTGTCCCCCGACTTAGGGCAGCCCCCGTGTGTCCAGCGTCCCGTGGAACTGTGCCCCGGGGGTGTGGCCTCAGGCCCAGCAGCCTTCTCCAATGGGCCAGGGCCCGTGGGGGGAGGGGGGTCTGCCGGATGCAGTGTCCCTGACGGTGTGGGGTCCCTGACGGTGTGGGGACGCTGAGAGCGCAGGTCGGGAGGCAGCTGCGAGCTGGCCTGCCCGCCACGGTTCTCACTCCCCTCGTTCCCTGGCTCTGGGAACATCTGGCCTCCCCCTTCCTGGGCAGAAGCTCGCTCCCAGTCTGGGCTCTCCAAGTGTAGGGGTGCAGCACCCCTTCCTTGTCAGAGCTGCGAACCTCTCGCCCAGCCCCAAAGGTTCACCAAGGCCAGAGTCCCACGGAGGCCACAGGAGGTGGGGTGTCGAGGGGCCCAGGACAGCCCTGGCCAACTGGGGCCTCTTCTGGCCACATATCCCCACCCCAGAGGTGACAGCCCATCCCCCCCGGAGCCTAAGAAGGCGGTGGCCCTGAGCTGTGGCCTGGAGGAGTGTCGCCTGTGGGACCCTGGTGGCCTTGGTGACCACACCTAGCTTGTAGCTCTTTCCAGAAATAACTTGCATAACCTGGCCGACGCGTTGCTGCTGGGGCTGGGGCTGGCCGGCCGTCAGGGTTCCTTCCCGCTGCCCTGCTGCCGTTCCAGGCAGGGGGCCCTGCTCTCTCCAGGGGGTGGGGGATTAGTCACCGCACCTAGAGGAAGAGGAGGCTCGCCCTGACACATGATCCCCTGGGTGGGGGGGGCAGCAGCACCGATCCGAGTGCCGCCCACAGCTGCCGGGTCAGCCGGTCAGGGGAACAGCGGCTCCTGGCGCCAGAGGCCTGAGAATGTACTGCCCAAGGAGGCCGCCCCTGGTGCTGGCAGCCAGTCCCCTGCCCCTGCGTGGCTGGGGCCGTCCACCTCACACCCAGGCGGTCTCCTGACCCCAAGGGGTCGTGGGGTCACGGCCGAAGGAACCCCTCTGCCACCAGCTGGTCAGTGACAGGAGGGGTCGGGCTCTGAGGTCAGCTCCACTTGCCGCGTGGCCGCAGCAGGAGCTGATCGGGCAGGGCTGGGACTGGGCCAGGGCACTTGAGGCTCCGCCCTCCACGCAGGGGAGAGGGCAACCATGTGGACGGGGGTGCACGACATAAACTGTAAAAGGCAGTCCCCACCCCACCTGGGACTGCCCTGGCCAGGTCTTTGGGGCAAGGGCCAGCCCGGTCCGCACACCCGGTGCTGCTGTGGGGCTGGCCCAGCCCGCGGCCGGCCTGTGTCTGCGTGGGAGCGTCTGGGTGAGGAAGAGGGACAAGGGGGCTGGGCTTTAGGAACATGGAGGTTCTCGGCAGATCTGGGGGGCAGGGAGCATGAGGGAAGGGGTACGGGTTCAGTGTGCGGTGGGGCTGCGTGCACACGCGTGCATGCACAAGCTCACTCATGCGCTCGCACGCACACTTGTGCACACACGCCCCCTCACACACTCGTACAGCCACACTGCCCTCGTGCTTGCACACTCACACTTGCGCACACACACAAGCACACTCGTGCTCACACGCGGATCTCAGCGTCAGTGTGATGAGGAACCTGAAGCTTGTGGGAAAAACATGGAGCCTTCTAGAAGGTTCCTTCACCACACGAGGCCTGTTGGGCAGATAAAGGTGTCCTGAGGCCCAGTGACCCAGGTGTCAGGTGGGACTCCCTCCCTCTCCCTGCCCCATCCTCTGAAGGAATAGGTGCTCTCCCACAGCCCCCAGCAGCCAGCTCCTCCCGATGGAGCCCCACCCTGGTCTGCCCAGTCCCTGCTGTGGGGGTGGGGTGTGCCCTCTGGTACCCGGTCTGCCCTAGCCCTGTTCCCGGGTGTCACAGACAAGCGTAAAAATCACACAGAGCCCACAAGGTGCAAAATGCTCCAGATGTATTTGTGAAGCCAGAGGCCCAGGGCCGAGGTAGGGGTGAGGCTCTGCCTCCCGGTGCCTGGCCGAACAGCCGAGCCCCACGTCCAAGTGACCATCATTGATAAGACCCTTTCGTGACGCTTATGTCCGGGGGAGAGCAGGCTGGGCGCCCGGCCAGAGGAGCCCTGCCCACCCTAGGCTGGCCCTGAGGGGGCTGCAGGTCAGTTGGGGCCCCCACACTTCCGAGGGCCGGCTGGACCCCGGAGAGGGAGGGGCCGGGCGGGCAGCGCATCCTGGTCTCAGGCCACCTGGGCCAGGGCTCAGGTCCCACCGGCCTTGGGACTGGGGCACAGGGGCAGGCGGCGTATCGGTGTGTTCCGGAGGGAGGTGGCCGGGAGCCTCGAGGGCAGGCGGGCCCCGGACCCCCCCAGCCTGCGCGCTCTGCCCCCCGGCTGTGCTCCTCGTCACTCTGCCCCGGCCCCCGACTTCTTCGGGCCTGGGCTTCTGTGGGGGCTGCACCGCTGCCCCCTGCAGCCGCACTCCTCCACCTGCCAGTAGCTGAAGTCTCGGCTGGAGCCGCCCGCACACCGCAGGGCCACCGTCCTCCGCGAGACCCGCAGCTCCTGACAGCAGTGGCAGTTTCGCTGCATGGTGTTGGCCTCCAGGGAGTACCTGTGGGCAGGGCCCGCTCAGCACCTGGCACGCCCGCCCCTGGAGCCCACCACAGGCCCGGCGCCCCACGCGCCGATCGCCAGCTGGCGCTGCTCCCCTAGTGGACTCTGGGCCGCCGCTGACCCCTGGGCACGCCGCCAAGGGGGGCATCGGTCTTCGGCCTCAGTAACGGAACAGCCTGATGCCATCAGCCTCCAAAGGCCTGGCCCAGCCCCTCAGCCCAGCGTCAGGACCCTGCTGCCCCCCCCCCCCACCCCCCCACCGCTCTGCCTCCCCCTCCAGCCGCAGCCCCATCTGCCCGGCACCGCCAGTCCTGGGAGCGCCGCCCCGCGGGAGCCGGCCTTGCCCCGGCGGAGTGAGGGGCTCCCGTACTTAGTGCCGCTGTCCCCGCAGTTGCCCTGGCAGTAGGCCAGGCTCACGGGCGTGACGGAGCTGCACCCTTGCTGCCTGATGACCTCGAGCTTGTGGTACACGGCACACATCGAGCCTGGGGCGACACAGGAGGGGTGCAGGGGGTCAGGCCTGGGTGGGAACCCCGGCCCCCCAGGTGGGCAGGATCGGCCGCCCCCGAGGACACCCCCACTCACTGTTCTGGGGTTGGTGTGGACAGGAGGGACAGCAGCCATCCTCACTCAGCTGAGCCTGGGCCTGTGCCGACAGAGGGGCTGCCTTGAGTGCCGCAGCATCCGGCCAGGAAGTGGGGGACACTCAGCAGTGAACCCCACGCAGCTGGGTGGTGCCTCTGTGGGCGCTGCACGTGCCGACCTTGGCTCCCCACCCCCACCCTGGGCAGATCTTGCCGTGGCCACCCATGGGCCCACAGTGGGCCGGGCGGGGCCGCAGAGCCCTGGAGCTCACCGCAGGGCAGTTGAGTGGGGGACACGCCTTCCTCCTGGCCACCACCACGAGCCCGTCCCGGTGCTTCTCACACTCGTGGGTCACACATGGGTTCTTGGGGTCTGACCAGGACTGGCCGGGCTGCAAGGAGGAAGCACCAGCAGGGTGAGTGGGCAGGGGAGGCCCGTCTGCAGTCTGTGTGTCTGCCTCCCAGCCCGGGGGCGTCCGGAACCCTCCCAGCCTCTGCCCGGGGGGCCTCAGCGCGCCAGGAGCCCGCTGGCTCAGGACCCCGCACCCTGCTGGCTCTGTGCCCCTCGCAGCTCCTCCGTCCAGGCGGGGGTGAGACCCGGCCTCCCTGGGGCTCCTGGGAGGGCCGCGGCGGCTCTGTCCCTCCCAAGCCTCACTCCCTGGCCCCGGGGCTCCTGAGCCAGGCCCTGCGGCCACCACTCACGGAGAAGACGTGGGTGGAACCGTCGCTGGCATTCACGACACAGGCCTGCTGCACACACACGCCGCAGCACTGCTCACTCCGCTCCTGGTATTCGAAGCCCTGCAGGGAGGGGTGGATAGGCAGCCTGAGCCCGGGGGGCCGGCTTCCCCGGGCGGCACAGCAGGGGCAGCCACGGACACTCACCACGGGGCAGTGGGGGGTGCAAATCTGGGTCTCACAGTTGATGACGACCGTGTCCAACTGGGGGCTGCTGGAGACCTCACACCTGCACGTTTCACACAGGCTGGAGGAGACCACGGAGCCGGGCTGGGGAGAGTGAGGGTGGCCAGCGCCGAAGAGCTCAGACCCAACCCGGTGCCCCCGCCCTCCCGGACCTCCCGCTCCAGGCCTGGCCTCCGCCAGGCAGACCGTCCCTGGGGGACGCTTGGTGGCACCTCTGGGTGGGAGATGGGGACCCCCAGGCCTGTGCCTCCGTGGGCAGGGTGCCTGGAGAGGTCACTTGCTCCAGAGGGCCCAGACAGGGGAAACCAAGGTTGGGGGCCCTTGTCATGTTCAGGTCACTGCCGGGGGGGGGTCTGCGCCTGATGCCGACAAGGGGCAAACCTGGCGGGCCGACCTCAGGCCTCGGCCACACTGGGCTGTGGGTGGTGGTCCCTGGAGCGCTCACAGCTGCCCAGCGTCCACCTGAGCCAGCAGGGGTCCTGGCCCGGGCTCGGGGAGGAGCCAGCAGGACAGAGAACACTCAGTGTCCCGTGTGCCACAGGGGTCCCGGCCTCCATGTGGCTCTTACCTGGTACAAGGTGCCGTTTACACTGCAGACACTCCAGCCTGTGCAAGAGGAGACAATCAGCCTCACCTCCCACCCTCCTGCCGCCCCGTCTGCACCCCACACTCATCCCCACACTCATCGCTGCGGCCGGCCAGCCCCGGGGCACCAGGCCGTGATGGCCCGGCTTCGGCCCCATCCAGCTCTACCCCCAGCCATGGAGAACCCTGAGAGAGGCGGGCCCCCGCCCACAGTGCCCAGTGCAGCCCGGAAGATAGATACTCACTGCAGTTCTGGCTGGGGCAGCAGGCCCCCTCCTCATAGGTCACGATCGGGTGGGAGCCCTCGGGACAGGCCACGGACTTGGGGCAGTAGCTGGTGTCACAAGCTGCGGTACGCATGAGGGAGGCGCTCAAGGGCCTGTGTCCAGCTCTGCACGAGCTCCCACCTCCACCCGGGGTACATCCCCAAAGGTCGTCAGGAATACTGACCACCCAGCAGGCAGACGGTGGGCCCCCCAGATGTCAGCATCCCTCAGGTGCCAGCATCTCCCCAGGTGACAGCCTCCCCCAGGTGACAGCTTCCCCCAGGTGACAGCATCCCCCAGGTGACAGCCTCCCCCCAGATGACAGCGTCCCCCAGGTGACAGCATCCCCCAGGTGACAGCCTCCCCCAGGTGAGAGCCTCCCCCCAGGTGACAGCATCCCCCAGGTGACAGTATCCTCTAGGTGACAGTATCCTCTAGGTGACAGCATCCCCCAGGTGACAGCATCCCCCAGGTGACAGCGTCCCCCCAGGTGCCAGCCTCCCCCCAGGTGACAGCATCCCCCAGGTGACAGCCTCCCCCAGGTGACAGTATCCTTCAGGTGACAGCCTCCCCCACGTGGCGGGGCCCCCAGGTGACAGCGTCCCCCAGGTGCCAGCGCCATGGCACCCTCACGGACAGGTGCCTCTGTTCACTCAGCCTGTGCTGACCCGGAAGACATGGAGGGCAGCAGTCGGGACTCACCGCAGCTGTACTGGGGACAGCACTGGCCGGCCTGCGGGGCTGCAGGCACAGGCACAAAGCCAGGCAGGGGGCAGGCTGGGGGCAGCGGACAGGGCTCTCTGTGACAGCTCATGGTCAGCGTGCTGCTCTCACAGGTGCACCGCTGGCAGTCCACGACGATGGTGTGGCCAGGCTGCAGGAGGAGGCACGTGTGAGCCCGGGGCCGTGGGGTCAGTCACCTGCCTGGCCAGGGACAGCGGCAGCCAGACCAGAGTGGTTCTGGGAGCCCAGCAATGAGGGCCAGCAGGGGGCCCGGGGGAAGGGGGCTTCAGGAGTGGGAGGTGGGGTGGGAGGTGCCATGTGGGTGACCTCACTGTGTCCAAGTGCAGCACAGGGTCCCCCGTGGAGGACCAGGCAGGGCCCTCCCCGTGGCCGGGTGCCCCCGCACAGCAGCCTCCCCGGGCTGGCTGGAGCGGCCTGGGCCCCTCCCTCCCCTCGCCTGGGCCCAGCATGAACTACTCACCTCCACGGCCTCCCCGCGGGGCCCCAGGCACCCTGGAGGGAGAGACAGTGAGGTCATCGGTGAGCAGTGGCAACCCCCAGCCCTTCAGCGGCAGGACCCCCGTCGGGGTGCCCGGGCTCTGGCTGGGAGTGCAGACCAGGGAGGGCGGTCGGCCCTGGCGCCCTCTTGGGCGGAAGGTGCTCCCGCCGGCCGAGCCCCACCCGTGGGGACGTACTGTGGCAGCCGGCAGGCACGCAGACTTGAGAGCTCATGCTGAAAAGCGTCTTGTCCTCTGGACAGAAGCAGCCTTCTGTGATGGGGACAGCGTCCTGAAGAGCCCTGTGGGGACAGCAGAGGGCCGGCCTGGTCCCTGTGCCCTCCAGGGCAGGGGAAGGCCGGCCCGGGGGCCCCGGGGTGGCTCTATGAGGAGAGGTGGGTGCATACACGAGGCTGGTGTCGTTCCCGTAGCAGTACGAGGGCTTGGACGGGCCACAGGGCAGGTACACCTTGTCAGCCGGGCAGGCGAACGCTGTGTGGGGGGAGAAGACCCCTGAGGCCGAGGGCACCCGCCCCAAGCCAGCTCATCCCCAGGCATCCGCTGAGAGCCTGACGCCTGCTGGGGGCTCTGCAGCCCGGGAACAGGCCCCCCCCGCCGCCCCCCTACACACACAGCACCGCCACCCCTGCGCTCCGGGCCCTGAGCCCCGCATCCGGGTGCTCCTCCCTTCTTTCCAGGAGCAGAGTGCAGTCTGCCCTGCGGTCAGCCATCCCCCTCCTCCCCCCTGCTCCGCCCCCTCCTCCCCTTCTCCTCCAGGAGGCCCAGCTGCTGGTCGTCTGCCCCTGGACCACACGCTGGCAGGTGCCTCTCGGCGGACAGGGTGCCCTGAGGCCGGTGGGCACTCACGGCACGTGTGGTTGGTGTGGCTCCTCCAGTCAACGCACACGCCTCGGGAGGCGCAGAGGGACGCGTACAGCTCTAGGCCAGAGCACAGCACGCTGAGGTCGCTCAGGTGGCAGTGGTCGAAGGCACAGCCTTGGTAGAATGGCAGCGGGGGGATCAGACGGTGGCACCGCTCGAAGACCCTAGAGCCGGGAACGCCAGGTCGTGGGGCAGCTCGGGCCTTCCCCCGGGGTCTGCGTGCCCCGGAGGACGGCGGCTTCTGTCTCCGGTGCTCCCGGGCCCGGAAATGCAGGGGGCACCCGGGGCGGTGACGCGGGCCCTGCGCCTGGCGGACCCGCGGTGACCCTCCTCCCCCGGGGGGCCCTGCAGGCCCCCGCCGCCCCCTCCCCACATCTCACTTGCTCAGAATCAGCTGGCAGACGGGCGAAAGCGAGCAGGGGGTGGGCGAGGGCGCGGGCCCGACCGCGGTGGGCGTCGGGGGAGCCCCGTGGCAGGACGGCTGATGCGGTGCCGTCACCTTCCAGTGGCCGGACATGCTGGAGCAGGAGGCGGCCACGGCGCCCCCGGGGAGGCGGCACTCGTCCCCTCTGTCATTGGTGCAGGTGCCTGGAGCCGGGGAGCGGGGGAGGCTGGCGGGGCCGCAGATGCCCAGGCCCCCCCGCGGGCGGCCGACCTGCACGTTCTGGGAGCCGCGGAGCCGGACGCCCGCAGGCCCGGTGCCCCGCGGCAGCCCCAGCCCCGGCCGAGAATGCATTCCCGGGGGGGGGGGGGCGGGGGGGCGCACCCGAGGCGACCCTTCCCACAGCAGATGCCCTCGGCTACGTGCACGGGGCGGAGCCCGGTGGGGACAGGCACTCACCGCACTGCCCCTCTGTGTTGTTGGCAAACTTGCTGAAAGGCAGCTCCACCGAGAAGAGGAGGCCGGAGAACATGACCCGGACGCCAAGTTCGGGGATGGTCAGGTACATCTTGATGCCGATTTGGGAGACGCTCAGGCTGTCTTTCTGGAAGTCGGGCTTGACCACTTGATCGTTGAAGATGATCTAGACACACACGACACAGCCGAGGACAACACGAATGAGGGGCGCTCCCAGCCGGCCCCGGTCCGCATGGAGCTGTCGGGGGGGGGGGGCTCCCCACCTCGTTGGTCATCACCCCGCGCACGGGCTTGCGGGTCAGCACGACACGGTCCTGCTGGTACTCGACGATGATGGACTGCGGGCAGGAGAGCCCGTCCTGCGCGCCGCAGAAGTAGTTGTCGATGAGCACGCGGAAGTGGCCGTACACGGGCAGGATCTGCTGCACCAGCACGTACGTGCAGTTGTCCAGGAACGTGTAGTAGGTGCCGTCAAAGGTGATGTAGTGGGGGTCGCCCCAGCCGCTGCACACACCTGCGGGCACGCGGCCGCCTTACGAGGGCCTCCCCACGCCCGCCCCGAGGGCTCGGACCCGCACCAGCACAGAGCTCCGTCCGGCCGGTGCTTGACCAGGCCCGCTCAGCAGGGCCCCGCGCCCTAGGCCTCGTCCCGCCTGACACGACCCGGGGGCTCTGGGGCTCAGGCGGGATTGCACTGGGACCGCCCCTGCCCTGCCTCGCTGTCTGGAAGTCCCTCCCAGGGTCTGACCCCCGCCGCCGCAGCCCGGCTCCCGGCTCACACTGGCACTGGTATTGTGGGCAACAGCTGTCCTGGTCGACGACCTTCACAGGAGGGTAGCCGTTGGCGCAGGTCGGCCGCTGCGCCCGCGGGCACTGGCGCGGCTGCAGGGTGATGACACCGTTGCCCTCACAGGTGGCCTGAGAGCAGTTGGGCATGGCCCAGGTCTCGCCTTTCTGCGGAAGAGAGACCTCGGGCTTGTGACGCTGTGGTCCCCTGAGAGAGGAGCCGCGGGAGGGGACCAGGCTGGCGCGGGGGGGCTCTCCAGGGAGTGGAGGGGGTACCCCGCCACCCCCTTCCTCGCATGTGGCCTCCACTCCTGGAGCTCAGTCCCCACCCTACACGCCCTCCCTGGCTGCCCGGCGCCATCCGGAGCTAGGGCCTCCCCTAGAACCGGCAAGTCTGACCTCAGGCCACACACGCCGGGCAGTCCTGCGGGACCAGAACCAGCCACTTCCCCATCTGCCTGCTTCAGCCCTCGGCGGCGGACCCTCCCCCACACAGCCCGGCCAGAAAGACGCCAAGGGTCCCTGCACCGGGCTCCGAGACGGCGAGGAGGGGAGTTACCGTTCTTGGGGGGACTGCGTTTGGGCATCCCTGTTCGGTGACGGTTATGGAGGCTGAAGGGGAGGTCCCGGGCCGGGAGGTGGATGGGGTGGAGGGTGGGGTACTGCTGGCGCAGGTGCCATCCGTCCTGACCACGTGGCAGTCCAGGCTGCAGGCAGCATAATAGCAGTGGCCGGCGAGGTCGGTCTCTTGGTAAATGATGGATCCTGCCAGAAAAAGGGACAGGAGGTATGAGCGGAGCCACGCTGGGGGCGGCTCGAGAGCCACGGCGCACAGTGGCCGTTGCCGGCTACGGGTCCTGCTGGCCCGCCCCGCGGGCTGACCGCCTAGGAGACCCTCCTGCCCAGAAACAGACGGGATAAATCCTAAAAGATGGCTCATTGCCGCTCAGAGACGACACGTAGCCCAATCGCAAGGACCAGGGACCCCTCCCCTCTCCCTCACAGTGGCCGGGGCTGCACACACCACACGCCGCAGGCAGAGGTCACTTACCTGCGGGGTACAGCTTGTCAGACACACTACAGTAGCACGTGGTGGTGGACAGCGCCCGGGAGCTGGGCGACGGCACTGTGGACACCACGGAGGTCGGTTCTGGAGGGGACGAGGGCTTGGTAGGTGGAGTCACATGGGACGTCACAGGGGTCCGAGGGCAGGGCTCACAGCACAGCACGCGGACCTCGTAGTTGAGGCACGTGCCGCCATCATCCTGGTCCTGGTTGCGGCACACCAGGCCCTTGCTGACGCTGCACTCCACCACCTGGTCCAGCGACTCGATGCTGACGTCGGGGTGGCTCTCGGCCCGGCACTCCAGCTTCGCGATGTACTCGGGCCGGCGACAGATTTTCTCTCCCCTCCTGACGATGTTGTCGAAGGTTTCCACGTCTCCTCCGTGGGGCCCGGGCGACGGGACGTCCACGTCGAACCACTTGGTCCACCTGCACTGTGGCTGGCAGGTGACGGTCACCGGTGGGGAGTGGGTAGCTGCGGATGTGAGAACAGAGGTCGGGCTGGTTTGTGGCACGGAGGTCGGGCTGGTGTGTGGCACGGAGGTTGCGCTGGTTTGTGGCACGGAGGTCGGGCTGGTGTGTGGCACGGAGGTTGCGCTGGTTTCTGGCACAGAGGTTGCGCTGGTTTTCGGCACGGAGGTTGCACTGGTTTCTGGTACGGAGGTTGCGCTGGTTTTCAGTACAGAGGTTGCGCTGGTTTCTGGCACAGAAGTTGTGCTGGTTTTCGGCACAGAAGTTGCACTGGTTTCTGGCACAGAAGTCGGGCTGGTTTTCAGTACAGAGGTTGCGCTGGTTTCTGGCACAGAGGTTGTGCTGGTTTTCGGCACAGAAGTTGCACTGGTTTCTGGCACAGAGGTCGGGCTGGTTTTCGGCACAGAAGTTGCACTGGTTTCTGGCACGGAGGT